TACTGGAAACACATTATTGACCTTATTAACCTTATTAACCTTTACTCCTGCATTACAGAAAATTTATATGAAGTTAATAAAAATTAGTCATAGCAACAATTATTTTTTTCAGTGTAGCTTTTTCTTCTTACAAATTCATTTAAATTTTACTAGAAACACAGTAATTTTAAATGAATTTGTAAGAAGAAAAAGCTATACTGAAAAAAATAATTGCTGCTATGACTAATTTTTATTAATTTCATATAAATTTTCTGCCGCAATGGTTTACATTCTTGTGAGCAACAAATCGATAGGCAGCAATCAAGAGTTGATTCTTGAAGTCAGAAAGAAAAACAATGCCATATTTTATTATTTTTTTGGTTGACACAACTATTCTTTTTTTTATGTGTACAATCTCTTTTTGTGATTTTCCTAGTGCTCATCGAAAGAGTCGCGAAAACACATTTGATTGCACCACGCACTGTGAACCAGGTGGAGACCTGGATAGCGTTTAAACACGTAGTATTTTCGCGTTGAGGACAATTTTAGATTAATATCCGCGTGACAGGATACCGTACCTCGCCAGTGACGACACACATTTGGCTAAATTGCACGGTGAATATTGAAAACTACCAGCTGCGCAGGCTCGACGCGAGCGAACTAGTTCGGTGCTAACGAGTTATTCGCCGTCATGCGATGACATTCTCGCGCGAGAACCACGACGGACGGTCGGCCGCCGAATTATAGATATTAATGCGCAATTAACAGATCCGTTCCGCGTTTCCGTTGTGAAACGGACCTTATTACGAACGTGGTCGTTCATTAGGGCGAGTCAATTGCCTGAGGAAACGTCATCGCGTCGTCCTATCAACCGATTGAGTAAAAGAACGTTACGCGCGCAATGTCACTCGTAAATGAAACAGACAAACTGAAAGGTATCCTTGAGGCGCGTACGCGCCGAAGGTAAGCCGCCGACGCTACTTAATGTTCGATGCATAGTCAATTCGATGTTTTAACATTAATTTGAATCGCAGAAGTAGACGAGTGGGGAGCGAGATTGGGCTCTAACTCGATCCTCGAGAATCTTCATCGCGATGACTCCCGCCGCTCTCGAGGTATTCGGCCCGCCGATGAAAATTCACGAGCTTGATCACTTGGCTGCGACCGAAATTGTTTATTAGTAGAATAAATTAATGTTCTGCGGGAAGAGAGGAGCGCGCGAGTTGATAGTCGGATGGATTGTCGCGTTATGATAATTCTCGAGATTCGATACCGTGGGATACGATTGAAATCTGTGGCTCGTTACTACTCATCTAATAAACGATTATGGCGTACATAAATCACGCGAGGATCGATATACCGATGAGCAACATCGTCGCCCGGTGGGCGCGCCGCTTCCTCCGTTTATATTTAAATTATCGCACGATCGCGATGGGGAAGCGCAACGTGCGCGGATGCGCGCGCTCAATGTTGGGAACTTGATGCGCTCCCTCGTAAACTCGCAATCAAGTAGGCAATCTCGAGTCGACTCGAATATAAATTAGATCCCGCTGCTGCTACTCCGGAGTCCTGACTGATTGCCGACTTTTTATACTTTGCAATTTTTTGTATACATTAGGGCTATATTAGGAGCATTTGTGCACACGGAGAGAATATTAGTTCCTTTTCAATTTTACTATATTCTTAGCAGTGCAGGAAAATAGACTGCCAGTGAGGTTTATCTTGTTAGGAGACATGGTATATTTCGCTGCACTGACAGAAAAAAAGTCTAACAAATAAAAAATATTTATTTGATGGATACTAATAACACACATTCACTTAAACTAATGTGAAATATGTTTCAAATAAAAAGATGTTCATTTCCTTAAAATCTTAACTTCTCATGAAAGTAACTGTTTATCCTAAGTAAGGGAATTTAGATTTAACGAAATATATGTTCCCAACGAATAAGTATCCGTCATTTGTTAGATATTTTCCCCTCAGTGTAGAAACATAACAAATTTTCTAATAGCACGTTTCACAGTTCCCCAGATATAAGTGGCATGTATAAAATCAAAGAATAGTGAATTGCTGTAGAATGGCAATCTACTCTTTGGTTATACAATTCTTTGCTATAGTAATTTTTACTATAACATTTTCTCTGCAATTCATAATTAATAATATTCGTAATAATTAATAATAAAATGTGTGAAAAATATAGTCCCGCCGAGATGGTCGGGTCCCGCGAGGATTTGAGAAATACCGTATGTGATATTACACCGTCAACATTCAATACGCGCGTGTTCGACGCGAGAAAGCTCCGAAAAATCCGTAGGTGAAAGGTGACGGCGATCGCGCGAGGCACCTCGTGTAAAAATAGACACCGGCAACGCTCTCGTCCTCCGAAATGTGTTTGCCCTTCGTTCGAGATGGTCGTTTCCACCCGCGCCGGTTTCTTTACCTTCGCGAAAGTGCACCTTCCTAGGCGGTCGATGCCTCGTGTGCTCGTGGACGGGAAGGTCGTGCGGGCCGAGGTTCTCCCTCGACAACGAGCTCACCAGGATCCCCCTCAAGGTCGCGAGGGTGCTGCTGGGAATCTCTCTATTCATTTCGCCGGCTCCCATATCATCGAGTCTTCGCGCTGGCGCGCGTGTTTGCGACGCAACGTCCGAGGTGGAAAAGCGAGCGGCGATCTTCGTCCGGCATGGCCTTTACGGCGTTACGTCTTGTTACGTCCTTTCATGGCGCTATTTGCGCGTCACGTGGGGACGTAAAACTCTCAACCACGGACGGCACTCACCCTCCCTTTCTCTCAGTCTCTTTTTCTCCTGGGAAATACGAAGGGTGCTTCGACGGGACGCGAAGCGCCCTGTTCTCCCGTTCGACGAAGTTACACTCCTCACTCCGCTTTACGGCCGATAAATGTCGTACTGCGAGTTAACGTGGTAATTCGCGCGAACGGCTGATTAAAAGTTCACGCGCCGTGAGCGGGCCGACGGACGCGCCGAAGGCGAAAGTATCGGCCCGAGCAGCGCGAGAGGATTTCACCGATGTGTTCGCGTAATCGCCCGTTCTCTCTCCCTCTCTCTTGATTATTCAATTCACCCGCGAGATGCAAACGCTGTGGTTTAAGAGAAATAATTAATTCCACGATCGGCAGGCTTGTATTTTATAAGAGGTTAAATCGATTCCTGCACTCTCGGAGAACGCGGCGGTGTCGCGTATCGCCCACCGTGACACGATACTCCGATCGATGCGGAGGAAAAGCGGCGCGACGTGACGTTTCGAGATCGTGACTGCTTTTTGTAAAGAGACTTGTCCGCATGTTACGTCAGCGTGTAAATTTAATCGAGCACTTGGCGGCAGATAACCAGCTCTCCCTCTTACTCTCTCTCTCTCTCTTTCTCTACCTATATCTCTCTCGAGCGCGTTTAAAGATTGCGACTGTCGAGCGAGATCGCCGATCTTCGCGATAAATTTGACTTGGCGATGACCGAAGTCGATATATAAATCTTGACTCATTGATACGCAAGTTCCACGTCGATAAGCATTCGCTGAATTGCGCGCGGCTGATTGAGTCATGCGATTTTCTTAGCTAGTCGGCGGTTGACTAGTCGATTGACTTTCGAGAAAATTCGCTGCTAACGATGGAATTCGCGCTTCGAGTGACCTTTCCGATTCAAGACAATCTTATTACTTCTTAGACCGAACTCTGATTTCGAATTACCGAGAACGAAAACTTATTGGTAATTCCTCCGATTGATATTCAAATGAGACATTGGAGAGCGGATAGTTGTGTATCGCGTCTACAATCCGTATTCAATTTCGAGACACATGGAATTCCCGGAAATGTTTCATCGCGGACGATCGAGTCTCTTGGCGATTTGCACTCAAATTAAATGTCAAAAAGGCGAAACCTCTCGTCGAGATATTTCGTCTGTGCTCCCATCCCCCATCATCTTCGTCAATCAAATCGCATTCAGATGAAAATTTGCGGCCCGATTTTGTTCCCTTTTTCATCCTGCGGAGGACTCCCTGCGAGCCGAATTCCGATCCACGAGCGGCATAATTTTCCCGCGTGACGTTTTCGCGTAATTACCGAGTCCTTTACGGCCATTAACGGACTAATCGGTTAGAAAAATTTAATTAGCACAGATGCGTGTAATGCGAGAAAGATCGCGTCGCGAGCGTTGCGCGACGCGACCGATTCTAAGGAGCCGGGAGAGGCTTGTCGAAGCTGCACTCGTCGAAGCAGCGGCTCGCCGCCGCGGCGCGACCTCGAACATTTAGAAATCCCCCTTGCCGCATTACACTTTTCCTTTTCTGCCGGCAATCGCGCGCACTTCGGGGCCACGGTGGCACGCAATGCGCTGCGGCTCTGTTGCATTCCACGCCGCGCACACGATGCTATAACAAAGCGGGCGCGCACTCTCACTCACTCATCGCGCACTCGACACGGAGACGACGACGATTCATTCGCACGCAAGTCACTCCGCGAGTAGGAGCGATCGATCTCGCACTTTGCGGCGAATTATCGCAAATGATTGATCAATTAGCTCCGCTCCTTTGTTCGCTTCTTTTTCTCAGGAGCGACTCCCACTCTCGTTCAAGGACTTACGCGAGAGCTCGTCGGCGCGCGGAAGTATCGATACGACGCGGGCGCCACCGTAACGCGACAATTGTTTAACGAGCGCGAGCGTCTCGTCGTCGAACATGCTCTCGAGTATATGTAGACTGACTCGCTGGAAGAGCTACAGGTCCCTCCGCGAGTTCTTCTCGCTCTCTCTTCCCGCGCTCGCACTTCTCTCCCACTCGATGCGTCTCACTCTGCGTGGTACCACGCGGATAGGTGTACCTTCGGTAAGGTAAGGTACACCTCGCACTCCCGTTTGTCGCTCGCTCGTCGCCGGATGGAGTGGGGACAGACACCTGTATACCTGCCGATGCCGTCTTACAAGACGGCCAGCGAGCGCCACGCGATGAGAAATGGTCGCGAGGCGAATCGCGTAATGACAGTCGAGATCGGGTACAGCATCTTGCCGTGCCCGCTGTTACTTTGTCAGATCGCTCAAAGAACCTGTTTCAGCGTTAAATAACGTCGCGGTGACGTTAGCTATTTTGATTATTTTACGAACAATCGATAATCATGTAAGCATACGCGGAAAAAGAGTAATTTGTTAATAATCATCGAGTGTCTGAGTAATAATTGTCAGATGTTCGGGTGAAGTAGTTTCGACTAAACATGTGTGTGCACAGATGAAAATATTGTCAAGTAATTTGGCAAGTATTAAGGGGAGGTTCTAGTCAAAATCGACAAAAAAAAAAAATTTTTTTTTTGTTGCTTTATTTTCATTCTTTGGGTCTTGAAAATGTGTAGGCAAAAGGATATTTTCATATCTAATTTATTTTACGAGTTATAGCGTATTAAGCGAGAGAGTGCGTCGGCCGAAAAACAGGTATAAACGCGCGCTCGGAGCGGCTTCGAGGGAAGGCCATTTTTCACCGCCTAAGCAGTGTATCTACTACAGGTAGCAAGTTTGTGCCTGTCTCAACGAATTTCTATACATTCCTGTCTATTGTGTGCTACCTGCGTATCCTCGGTCGGACGAGCGTTTTATTTACAGTAACGTATTTCAGTTGCGTTTCGAATGTGTGGCAAGTAACAGTTTCAAAAATGCCGAACACGCGAAAATCAGTGGGAACTCTTTATCCATATCGGCCTCGTAAGAAGAAATTCAATTATAATCCCGATAAAATGGAAGCAGAAACAGAATATGCTAGTACTTCAGCCAAAAAAATTAAAGACACGAGTTACGATGATATTAAAATTGATGTTGGCCATAATAACGTCATTATAAATTTTCTGACTGTTTTCAACTTTTTGTCTCAGTGTCTAAAATGTAAAAATTTGTGACGGTGATGTAACGTTTTCTCGTACGTGTGAACGTGGACTTGGTTTTAATTTAGTAATCAAGTGCAAGTGTAAGGATCAACAACGCGTTTCTTCGAGCCCTTTAGTAAATAGTGCGTACGAAATAAATCGCCGTTTGATGTTTGTCATGCGGATTCTAGGACTTGGATTACGGTCGATAAACAGTTTTTGTTCCCTAATGGAACTGTCTTCAGGTTTTGCAAATGGTACGTACTATGCATTTATCACTAATCTGCTCGAGGCATCAAAGAGCACATTCGAAGCTATTCAACGTAAAGCGATTGCCGAAGAAAGACAGAAGAACGTGGAGGCGGGAAATGAAGAAACATATTTGAGCGTGTCAGGCGACGGTTCATGGAAAAGACGTGGCTTTTCGTCGTTATTTGGAATTGCAACGCTGATCGGAAAATATACGCACAAAGTGTTGGATTTTATTGTAAAGTCGTCGTTCTGTCAAAGCTGCAGCAACTGGGCCAGCAAAAAAGGAACTGATGAATACGATATCTGGTATGATACTCATGAAGAACATTGCAGCATAAATCACACAGGAAGTGCTAGTAAGATGGAGGTCGATTGTATGAAGGAAATGTTTTGTCGATCAGAATCGCTCGGCGTGAAATATGCTACATATATCGGCGACGGTGATACTAAAACTTTCCGAGCTCTCCTCGAATGTAATCCTTATAGCGACCTTATCGTTCAAAAGAAGGAATGTATAGGTCACGTCCAGAAGCGAATGGGCACAAGATTGCGCGAAGCCAAGAAAAAAAATAAAAGAATCGGAGGTAAAGGTGCAGGAAAGTTGACGGACAAATTGATAAAAGATTTGACTTTATATTATGGACTTGCCATCAGACGACACCCTGATTCGGCCGAAGAAATGAGAAAAGCTGTGTGGGCAACGTTCGATCATAAATGTTCCACGAATGAGAAACCGAAACATGATAACTGCCCGCCAGGTGAAAACAGTTGGTGTAAGTGGCGTGTTGCAGAAGCTAAGGGAGAAATCGCCGATTTCCACCACGAACCTGCCCTTCAAGCGTCTGTTCAAGAAGCAATTCGACCGGTGTATGAAGCTCTTTCAAGCGATGATTTGCTACAAAGATGCACCGGTGGAAACACGCAAAATGACAATGAAAGTTTTAACGCTTGTCTATGGAAACTGGCCCCCAAACACCTTCATTGTGGCGAACAAACGATCAGAATAGCAGCATATATAGCCTCCGGCATCTTTAATGAAGGCTATTCATCTATATTAAAAACCATGAAGACGTTAGGAATCGTCATCGGGACAAATAGCAGAAACTTCGCTGTGAAGACTGACGAGAAGCGCATCGAGTCAGGGGAGAAGAATCTGTCAGAGTTGGCAAAAAAGGCCAGGATTGAAAAAATCAGCTTCCAAGTGCAGCAAAACATGATCTTCGAGGATGAGGAAGGAACCCTATATGGTGCTGGAATAGCTGATTAGATGTAAGTGTCAAAAAACAAACATTACATACGATTTTTTCTTCGTCAAACTTTAAACGCGTTTTTCTCGAAACACCTTTTTTTTGCGCGCGAAGCACGATTCCGCTTCAACGACTGAACCGATTTCGATGTTTGACGGCTCAAATTAAAGCTTATTCAATTTAGGGGGCCTTCAGGAAGCGTTTTTTTCAAAAAAAAATTTTTAAATATTTTTTTTAACGTTAAAGCCAAAAAAAGGAAAAACAGGTTTTTTTTCAAATGGCCGCCATTTTTTTTTAAAGGATTTTTTAAAAATCGGAAATTCATAAGGCCCCCCGAATTTCATCTAGTTTAAGAATATTTTTCGTTTTTTCGTTTCAGATCACTTGGCAGGGCTGTAGAGTGCTTCGCGCACATTCACTATCGCCGCGCACGGCTTTCTTCAGTGAGGGCTGGAGCCGCCATTTTTAATTATTTTTGCTCGAAAAAATTTTGTATCATTCTTCAAACATGTACTAATAAGTGCCACAAACAGTTTTTTCAAAAAAGATTTACGTTCGCTCAAAAAAAACTTCTAAAATTACGTTAATTTTCGGGCCTTTGGACTAGAACCTCCCCTTAACAAACAATCTTTAGCAAGCCTTGATATTTGTTGCTAAAGTTTGATATTTGTCGCTAAAACTTGGTGATTATCAATTTATGCGATACGTATCATCAAATAAATTGTAAAATATTGTTTAGTAATATTTACTCTATTATGTGATACATGTACGAAATGTCCAAAAATACTTCGGCAATAGTCAACCTATTTAGTAATTATTATCAAATATTATTTGGTACTTTATATTTACCAAAACACTCAATTAGCTTAATGAAATGAAATGAAGAATTTACTTTACTAATTATTTCATTAATTATCCCAATTATAGGCGGCTGGTAATTATTACCGTATTTGATACTGATTAACAAGCGACGGCCGCGGTACTTTACGGAGCTGTATCCACTTCTCAGTGACCGACTCAGCACGGCCGTACTCGCGCGGTTGTATCTACTTTACGACGGCCGACTCAGCGCGGCCACGCTACTCGCGAGCCGTACTGACACGCCTGCATCTACTTCGCGAGGCCGTACTCGGTGTGGCTGCGACCACTAGCAGGCAGTTGTTTCCACCGCAACACTACTAGCCGATATTCGTACTCGAGGGACAGCGGAAATTGCAGGTCAGAGTGGAAACCAGTATAATCTCATTGAGTTTGATTTGGATATCGCACGCACGCGCGACAACGATCCTAACGTTTGCTCCCGAATAAACAGGACGCGGTGATTGGCCGATAAGGTATTTCGCATTGAAAATTAAATTCGCTTATTCCACGCTTTAATTACACGCTTCGACCCTTGCTATTGATAGCGGTTATAACGACCGATAACTAACTCGACATTCGCTTGAAACTGTAACGATCTCACTGACTACTATGGTCGCAGTTGCGATGCGACTGTATCCGCCAATATACGTGTCTACGCTCACGGCACCCATCACGTCTGTACACATTTGCGATCGCGGCACTGCGACTATTATGCACAGCTGTGTGCATGTGACGATAAAATCGCGCTGCTATTAACTGCTTTTTGTCAGCGATAATAATAGAATTGCGCGTCGTAAGAAAGGTATAAGTGTCTTGTGGTGAAAATACTTTCACGCCTAATTTGGATCCGTCACGATAGACGTAACGCTTAGGTGCTTAGGATGAGAGAGTGTCAATGCCCTCCCGCTGCACTTTCACTGCGCTCCGTTATACATGTAACGAGACGCTCAATACAATAAGACTCTCCTAACGAATTCACAAATATTTATGAGTTATTACCAGTCGCGTACCAAAAGTTGAACAACGCAGAAGACTGATTGAGAATCAGCTGATGACACTGGTCGACCGGTTATGGTCGCGCCTGAGTTTCTCTCTGCGAGCACAACGGGATATAAACGGTGATCGGGGAATGACGAAAACGGCCTTAAAAGGCGACACTAGCGGGCGTTCTCTCGACGAGTGTTAGCGCGCGATAGGTATCACACGAATTACTTCAGTTCATCTTTTTAATTAATCTTTCGATTCGATTCACAGATACATCAATCCGCATTATTCTGTCATTTCAATGAACTGCTGAAACGCTACCTTCGTTAAATCAATTTCTAATCAAATCCGTGAAACGTTTATATTAGAAAACAATCTAATCTTTATTTGCATATTTCTGAGAAGTAATCAGGGAATCGTTCGAAAATTAACGGAGGATGTCCGCTTTAATCGCTTTGGTTTCTAGGTCAAACGTCTCTTTTCAGGGTCGCGAAATGTCGGTGGCATAATCTGCTCACGCTTCGATGATACCCGTTTCCAGCATTGCGTCAATGTACCGTCGATATCTTTGTGATCGCGTACACACCGGAGAGCGGTCGTCTGTAAACTCCGCAAATCATCCGTAAAGCAAGAACCGTTCGTGAGCAAGGACCGATCTAACGACGAGATCTATCTCACCGACCTCGGTTGACCTCATAAATAAATCGTGACGGATTTTTCAATGTCGCGCCGCGTATCTCCGTCCAGGTGACAGAGAAGGCGAGAACAAATATTGTATCGAATTTATTTTCATCGACGGCGAATTTGATTAAAGTTTCAATTGCACAGAGCTTTGATTACACTGTAGAAAACGCGATAATCATTTTTGTCGCTCAACTCTTACTCGTCTGTGCTATAGATACGTTTGTTTTCACAAGTTTTCACACTGTATGAAAGTGATACACACCACTCATGCACACAGACGGTGTACGATACGCGAGATCGAACACAGGAAAAATAAATGCCGCTGTGATAGCCACACCGCTTAAAAGAGGCCGGAATCAAATTCAGTCGCGAGCATAGCTGTGCACGCGCTGTTGTTTGAACATATCACGCGTCGTCATCGACTCTGAAAATCAATGACGAGAACGACTCATACATGTGCGAGCTGTACCCAAATCGAGATTTCAGTTCTATTTTCGACCTGCAGTTTCCAACATCTGTATATTCTGGAGGATCAACATATGTTTGATACACATAGAAATTAAAGTCCTACTTAACGCCTCTAAATGATGGAAAACGCACAAAATGCCATTTCTAGCTTCTAAAGAAGATCTCTAGGCAAAGCTGTAAGTTAAGTAGAATCAAAAGAAGTTGATATAGATTTCAAAGTATGAAGATAGGCATTAAATAGAATTCGAAAGAGTTGAAGTCGAGAGAAAGATCAACACGTCTCTATTCGGGTTGTTAAACCCGAGCTTCGAAACTTCAGCCCTACTTTGGGTCTGAAATTCCTAACTGTGTATTCTGTATGTACTGTAAATTCTGAAGGATCAGTGTACGTGTAATATACATGGAAACTGAAATCCTACTTAGCACCTCTAAATGGTAGGGAAGCAGCAAAATACTGCTTGTAGGTTCTAAACAGAATCTGTCGGTGAAGCTAGGTTAGAATCGAAAGAGGTTGATACAGGCTTCAGAATATCAAAGAAGGCGTTAAATAGAACACTGAGGTCGAAAGTAGAATCAAAATATTGACTCGAGAATTAGTAGAAAAATGCAGACTCGAAATTGTAGTCCTATTATCAACTTGAATTTTCTGAATATTTATTTATTTTGAAGGATCATCGTAATAATATGGAAACTGTACTTAGAGTCCTGTTTTGTCTCTGGACGGCAGAAAATATATAGAATCCCACTTATAAGTTCTAAAGACGAATTCTCGATAAAGTTAGTAAGTTAAATAGGATCAAAAGAGGTTGATACAGATGCCAGAGTATGAGAGTAGGCGTAAAGTGGAATATCGAGGTCGAAAGAAGGATCAAAATTACGACTCGGATACGCCCGCCAATTTGTCAATAAAAATATCGTCGGTGGGCAGAAGAGACGTTCTTATCGCGACCGACTGTATACTTTATGGTACAGGAAAGTAACGACAACGTCTCTTTGCTCCGGCAGCCCTTCTGAAGAGGAGAGGCGTTAAAGCGTGGCGCTCGTAAATCATCCGTAAAGTCGATTCGACCGTAAGTAACAGTCCAGATCGCGATCCCGGACTTCCTTGTGGCCGCAAAAATACGCGAAATCGTGTTCCTCGAGTCCCAAGCCGCTGACAAAACGCACTCCGTGTCGATTCCTGACGCGGATCATCCTTTAACGAGGCAATGTTGCGTGCGTCACTCGATGCCTCGTAGTAATTCATCGATATCGTGAAGCGCAAATCGCCGTAATTGCATTCGACGGCAACATCTTCAAGATTATCGTTACGCAAACAGGAAGTGCACGTGTACATACACCGACACACCGTCCGTAACGACGAGCGTTATTCGCGACGCGTGCATCTAATATGCACACGATACGACCGCTGCATCGATAATGCAACATACTCGCGACGGTAATGACCGTGAAAGGTTGCGCGCGGAGAAAGCGAGGAAGTGCAGCGGGCTCTCCGGGGTTTTAGAAAAACTCGGAAGGAACTGGCCGCCTAAAATGGCTCGCGATTTCTTCTTCGGTCTATCTACATCGCACGCGCGCGCTCACTCGACTTCCTCGTTCGCGGGCCTCGCTCGGCGCGGACTGCATAATCGCGAGAGGCTGAAAGGCCGCAAGACGGTGACTTTGTAAGTTCCATCGCGAGAAGAATAGAGGCATTGCGCTGGCGGGGGAAGGAAAAAAGTTGTTTGCGTCCGCATGAATGGCCGCTCGACGAACGGAAAATTTTAGGCGATGTCGTACTGAACACATCGCGGAAACCGGATTTTGCAAATCAAATTCGGCAAGGCGCTCTGAATTAGACGTTCCGAATCGGAATGACGTGAGGCACGTGTAGGTGTGAAAGATCAAAGAGAAGTCGCTGGTGAATCAGCCGAATTCCGTGTAGCCCGCGCTTCATTAGAATTCTCAGCGCGAGACCGAAAGCACAAGTCTGATGATAAACAATTCCCCTCTTTTTAGCGTAGCTCGCTTTGACACACTCGCTTTGACGTGGCCGAAATGTCGCGGCCGAGAGAACGTCAGGATGACGTCGGCTGTACAGTTTTACGACTACGCGTTGGCGATGTAACGCGAGCTATTAAGGTGTCGGCTACTGATTTACATCGCAGATCGCACGTCGACGATAGCGGGCCCCTCCGCGCTTACGCAAGACATTCGTCTCGACTTGACACCATCTTGCGCGCACCGTGCGGCATGCCGTTGCATCGCGCCGCGATTTATGCGTCACGTAACGCCGGTGGTATTCTCGTCGCACTGGTGGCTCTTTCTCGGCTCGACGGCCTTGCCGGCAATGCGAGCCGTGACGCGCACGATGCGGCGGACGCGCGCACAGCGTCGCACGTCTACATTGCACGGACTCGAGGCAGCTTGAGCGCCGGACTTAATTGCTGGCGTTGATGCTAGGAAAATACATCGCGGCAATCTAGACCGTGCACAAATTCCAGGCGTATAATACGCGGGGCGTGCCTACGTATAAATTGAGAAATTCCGAATTCCGCGTCGCACGGGCCGCAACGAGGTCGTCCGTTCACCGTCAAGTTCATCGTCAGGACCCGGGAGGAGGCAAGAATCGGTTTCGCGTCACGGTACCGATACCGCGAGAACACGGAGTTCGATAACAGATCGCGAGGTTCGCGGACTGAATTTAAATCAGAGTCCTGTATAAAATATAAATTGAGTTGGTGCAGTCCGTCTCGCGGCACGCACCAATTTCCCCGAGCAGATGCGTATCTGGACGCCACGGCTTAATAATGGGTTCCGCAATCTCGACTTCAAAGGTTCGGCGGTGCAAAACCGCCCGCGTAATTAACGCAGCGAGAAATAACGGGCATCGCGGAGTCGGCTGAACTTCGCGAAATCTATCGGCGACGACCCAAGCGAGGCCGTAAAA